CCCGTGGCTATTGTATAAAAAATATTCAATACTAATGGACAAGGAACTCATAACCTGGACACAGTATTGTCATTCAGGTCAAGTATGACTTTATTTGACAGCCAATCCCTTTGCAATTAATAGGGCTGCTTGTGCATGGAAGTATCTGTTTCCTGAAGACACAGATAGAACAATCCCTATGAGAACCAGGGAAATATTAATCCAAAATTAAAGTTTTTGAATGAAGGCCAACACTGCTTGTTTTAGTATTCAATGCAAAGTGCTTGCAAATCCCAGATGACAACATTGTTCCAGTTTCCTAATTCATGGGATTCAAAACATGGAGTCGGGGTAGAAAATGAACTCTGAAACAAAGGTAATGTGACTGTTGACTGCAAGTCAGGGGTGTGTTTGCATGCTGGGCTGCACGAGCGTGGTCAGCAGGATGAGGGACAGGGCTGCTCCCCTCAGCTCAGCACTTGTGAGTCCACGTGCAAACTCTGTGCCTGGTTTGGGGCTTCACAGCTTGGCTGTACAGGCTCTCAGCAACCTCACACAGCCTCAAAGTAAACCCTGCATTGTGTGAGGAGAAGCGTGGTGTGGGTGGGGAGGGGACCAGGTGATGTTCAAAGGTCCCTTCCAACCTAAACAATTCCACAAGTAACACATTTGCACTGTCCCTGCTAAGACACGTAAACCCCCTAACCAAGCAGTAGTACTCATTAGGGGACACAGGAGCACTGGTTAAAAGCATCAGTGGGAAACACAAGGTATAGGCAAGCCTTTCTAGAAGATCCAGGTCACACAAAGCTCAGTTTGAGTCACGCTTCATGCTTTCCTGTGGACCCAGGTCTGTTCTTTCTGTATTGTGTCAATTCAGGACATTCCCCCAAAGGCTGTCAACTGGCATGTTTCACTGCTGCATCACTCAGCTAACTAGAAAACACGAGCCACTCATCCCACAATGAGGGCAGTGTTCAGACCTTACTATCAAGCACGATAAAAAATGCAACACGCCCTGTGTGACCTCAGGTGTATTTCCCCCAACAAATGTAAACCCAGACCTGTACTTTGCACCACAAGAGAAGACCTAAAGGCCTCTGTGAAAAGACCTCTCTGACATCTTTCTAATTCAAGTGCTACACGGTACTAAATTAGTCAAGTGTGTCTTTTAATGACTAATACTTTAAGCACGAGGTGTAGAAAGGCTCCACATTTTCTACAGAGGATGGTACCTCTCTGTGCTCAGCACAACAAATACACTGAAAGTCTTAAGTCCAAAGACAGCAACACATAAACAGGCAACAAAGCAGATGGATGCTGGCTGGGGAAATGCCAGGGGTACATACTTGCTTATTTGTGTGTGTCCCAAAATTACTAGTCCCAGTATCCCTCAAAGCCAAGCTTAGCTGTATCCATCCCCTACAGCAGTGGTTGGTCACCACTGCATCCAGAGCCAGCCCAGATCCAGAGAGGGCAATGAACTGCATGTGTTATTCTCTTTTGTATATTCACAGAAAGTGTTGTTATCTTTATTGATACAATGTTATGACTTATCAGCTTCCAAATACCAAAGATTATGTATCATGGTTTCAATCCAACCTCCTTGGTTGAAAGGAACGTTTCTTGCACAATGGATTATTGACTTGTTTATGTTTGAGGAGCTGGAGAGCTGTTAGCATGTTCTGTTTACTCTCTGGACAAAGTCTGGCTTAGCTATAACCCAAAGGAAATCAAGATTTCTAAAAATAGGTTGAGGTGGCCAATAATCCTTTAGGAGTTCTGATACAAACTGATATCCAGATTAAATGAGGAATTATGAGTAACTTTAGTGGGAGGGTTTGAAATGGAAAACCCAAGGAGAGCATGACTACATAAGGAACACTCACTCTGTCCCTACATCCCTGCTGACTCTCCAATGAGCACAGGATTCAAGGAGAAAGATGCATCTAAAAAGCTGTGTAAGCATTTGACAGCTAGTTAGCTGCATGACACATAAAACCTCTTGGAGCTGGATCTAAAACATGGATAATTACGTGTTTGGTTTTCTTTTATTTCTGTTTATCTTTAGCATCTCTTCTATTATTCTCTGGGCTGCAGAAAGAAATTATTCTTGATTTTTTATTTCAATGTTTGTCTCTAGAACAAAAATGATTTCCAGGGTGCCGGCTGGCAAACTGAATTCCCACAGCATGATAAACCTTAAAACTGCACCACATAAAAACCCCCTCACAGACCCCTGCACCTTCATGCAAGACCAAGAGATAACCAGTATGTGCCTGAACCTAAAGCATTTCCCCAAATATTTAGCTATAGCTATCCACTGGACTCAGTCATTTTCCAAGTAGCTCGGAGTAAATGCAGCATCTGACTCCCAAGGTTTGAAGCACAGGAAAAGGAGCCAGAAGGACACTGACAGAGCATCAATCTGCTCCCACAATTGTAATTAAAGGAGGGGCAATCCCCACTGCTTGGAGTTCTCAGACCATCAGTTTGCCATCTGTAAAATGGGTTCCTCCAGCCTTGTTTGGGCAGGGCAGGGGAAGCCAAGGTCTCCTGCTCCCCCTGCATCTAATGGCTAATGCCCCTGGGTTCAGCTGGACCCCTGAATGCTCCCACCACACAAGTACAAACAACAGCAAGCTCATCTCTGTTGAATGTTTTCCCCTGACCAGCTCTCAGCACCAGTTTGCATCTGTGTTCCACATGCCTGCAGAAATGTTTTGACCTATTATTTGTAAGACCACTGGACAAATATATCATTCATCAGCACAACCACCCAATTACAATACAGCTGCAGTGATCTCTCTGCCAGCTGGTGCTTTGTGTAAATGACCCATTCCAGAAGAATAGGCTTCCTGTTTTTTGTGGGTTCCTTCACTACCTGCTTAATCATCAAACCATACAAATTATGGAGTGAGATGAACTTTGGCACCTGGCTCTTAAAGCTGTGGTACCAGGAAAGTGATAAACTTCACTAAGGTAGACACATAACTGCACTTCACTCTCCTAGACAGCCTGTCCTCTGTCTTTGTCCCGTTGTGATCTCACTTAAACCTGCCAAAGAGCAGAAAGCTACCAGGTGCTCTTCCTCTGAATTATTAAGCAACAAAACCCACCTAAACTACCTCCATTTTAGCAAAGAGGAATTTCCTAGTGTTAAGTACCTGGGCAGTGACTAAACCCTTTCACTGTTCTTATGGGAAAAAGCTACTTGCTATTCTTGGTAAAGGGAAGGTCTTTCAAATCAAGATAATATTTCACTTGTTTTTCAGAAACAAACTTAATGGGGGCGTGGAGGGAAGCAAGGAAGCAAAAATAAATTCTACTTTGCACCACGTTAAATTACTCAGAGTTTCCCAAAATGAGAGGCTTGGTCAGAAGCACTGGAAAGTTTAAGAAATACTCCTTTAAAAACAACTCCCACAGAGCAAAGCTCCCTCTCCATGACCAAAAGGTATGTGAGCAAGCCAGGTCATTCTGTCTAGGCTTTTCTTCTCCTTTCTTTCTTTTTTTTTTTTTAATAATTTAATGGATAGAGTGAATGGTAGTGGCCAGGTTGCATCTTTACCTCATCTTACTCGGGGTTTTTTAGAGTTGCACCTCTGACCCCAATTTTCCCCTCACTGCAGCAACAAAGTGGGCATAAGCCACCAGCACGCTGGCACCACAGCCATCCCAGCTGGGGGTGAGGAAGAAAAAGAAATGCCATCAAAATTTCTGCCTGTGCTTTCTCTGATCATCCTCGCCTGCCAAAGCAGGAGGGAAAATAACAGGCCACACGGAGATCCTGTCTCTGCACGCTTTAAGTGCTTTGTTATCCTCAGGAGTCGCAGGGAAAGCAAGGCTGGCTGGGCATTGTGTTAATGATACTGTCAAGAGGCCAAAATAAAAGTGCTACACCACAGCCCAGCCTTCTGCTATCAGCACTACTGTCCCACGCTCATTTAGGCAATCAGGGTAACGGGCTGGAGAATATGCCAGTGGTCTGGAAAAGGAGATCTCAACACTTGGCTTTTGCTGATAAGAACCTGGATCCGCTCAGAATACGACTCTGCCAGACGCTGATGGCTACACAAAGCACACCAACACTGTAGTTTTGCCACGCAACTATTTTGCAACTATCAAACACACCTACAACAAAACCAGTTTGGTGGGAGGGGCTTCCGTATATTTTCACATGTGGTTGCTGTCAGCAGGCTGAAATCCTGATAAGCTACACAGCCAACTTGGCTGACTTCACTGAAACCCTGCTGGAGACAAGTCCTGAGCTGAAAAGTTACTGCTTGTGTTTCCCACCACAAGACAAGGGAGGACAACCATGTTCAACATCTGGCCAAAACTTATTTCCAGCTGCATCAAAGATCCATACAGATTCCATCCAAAGGTCAGCAGCTACGGTTTTTGATAAGGAATGTGCTGCTTTTGAGAGACAATGTTGTCACTGTGATCCACTTTCCCTACTCAAGGCAATCAGTCCATTGTTCCCACTGGAAATGAGAAAGGGCTTGAGGTCTCTGAAATGGAAACTGCTTTTAATTCCAAATCATCCTGAAGCATAAACATAGACTGATGCATAACAGATTGATGCTACATACAGTAAGCAACTCTAAAGGACACTCTTTCTCCCTAATTTCTCAGAAAAAGAAAAAGCAAACAAACAAAAAACCTCAAAATATCCCGAGAGTCCAGAGGATATGATAGGTGAACTCGCTCTGTAACATATTGCACATCATAGTACAAAACTAAAACCATCCAATCTCTATTCTGTCTAAATGTGAATTTACCGGCTCTCTACTTTTTGAAGACAGTCATATGTTGATAAAGCTGGGATGTGTAACAGAATTTCCACTTCATGACATGAACAAGTGGAGACTGCATACATGTTCTTATTTAGGGTTTCTGTAACAGAAGGACTTTACCCATTCGGTGCATAAAGTTCTTCTTACAATGAAGGAATAGGGAATTCTAAAAAGCACACTTAAAGGCAGAGAAAGAAGACAATGAAGTGCAGAACTTACCTTCCACTGCAAAGAATGGAACCACTGATCCCTCAGGTAACTGTTTGCAGCCTGCAATAAAGAAAATTTACAGACAGAATCATTAGTTTCTACCAGTGCTTCAGGTCACTCAGCCACTTTACATTATAACCAGTTTATTTTCACAGAAAGCAGCGACACGAAGACCTTGCTGCAAATGTAAAACACTGAACCAAAACCTTACAAAATATTAACCTCCCATGAAATGGTGTCCAACCCAAAGACTGCGAAAAGTCCTCCCTGATTTCAATCAGGTTTGTGTCAGATCTTTAATGTCTGTAGGGCATTTGCCTCTGCCATTAATCACCGGGAGCAGAGTAAGAAGATGGGTTGACATTTTACTAGGAGGGGTGGGTTTTTTTCCATGCTCTGGTTTCTCTTCTTGTCCTGTTCCTCAGCTGGCCCCAAAGCAATCCAAACAATGTCTTCGCTCTCTCAGCGATATTGAAACGGCGAAAAGCACGACCCGCGCAGACGTGCAGACACTTGCACAGGCTGTTTGCAGCAACGGCAGCAATGTTGCAATAATCACTCCCAGCCATCACCCATTTTTGTCCGTATTAAGCACAGCTGCCAGAAATTCCCAGTGTGAAGCCAGGTCGTAGCCAATGGAGGAATAGTTCAACACTCCCAAAGGTCAAAAGGCTCCATATCAAAAAATATAAAAGCCTCTACAGTGACGTAAACGTGCATGCCTTAACAAGGTGACATGAGTCTGAAATATTTGAGTGGGTAGAGATGCCCTTTGGCTTTTCCATTTGCACCTCAGCACTGCCAATGGGCAATTTTTACTCACCATTTAAAATGTTTTACACAAATAGTGAAAATTACAGGATAGCATATAAATCCATGTTTAAAAAAAAAAAAGAAAGAAAAAGTGAGGTTCTTCACCAGCTAAAAAACCACATACTTCTTGCAAATTAAAGCAACATTTACCAAGTTTCACTCCCTAACACCTTTACAGATAAATATTCAAAATCCACACCACAGAATGTATTTCATCTCCTGACATTGGTTCAGTTCACTGATAATGGCTGGTTCAGTTCACTGATAATGGCTGGTTCAGTTCACTGATAATGGCAGGAATACTAGAAATAAAAACGCTGCATGGTTACCAAAAACATGTTTAATCTCGAGGTCAGATACTGATGGCTTGGTGACATAAATTTGGACTGATTACTCTGAATTAAATGGAGTAATGTCCTTTTATATATGTATTGCATATTATTTATTTATATATTAATGAGAATCAATTGCTCCTGCAGTAGATGTCAGGGCAATAAAGCAGGAACAAATATATCATAAATAATCTTGGCTGACCACAGAGTTTATCGAAAACTTTCCATTTCAAGAATAATGCTGATATATCAGAAGATGAAACTGCTACAAATGGAAACATAAAACATAACTTCCTTTTCTTTTTTTTTTTTTGTTTTCTTTGCATGCAGTGAAAAACTATAAAACCATTTAGAGTGCAGATCTTCAGGACATTTCAGTCAGTCAATATTTAATGTTTTTCTTTCTGTTATTTACACAGTATTTTATGTATATGTGTGCATTATAACACAAGATAGACTTTTTACTTATATATGTTATAGAATTAAATTTCAATTCAATATACTTTGTAGTATATTTTAATATAATAAAAAGGTCAAAAATAATTTGCCACCAAAAGCTGGAAGAACATTTTTAACATAATTTAAAAAGCATGAAGTAAATACGGTTAGATATTTCTTATCTAAGACAAAATGTTTTAAAATCCCACCAGACTTCTTCAAAGGATTCAATTTCAAATTGAACCTTTTTCCTTTTAAAGGAGAAAACTGGTTCATGAAGGAGAACTAAAAAACCTCCTTTTCAGTTGCTGCATCAAAGCCCTTTAAAGAATAAGTCAAAGTGAAAGTTTTTGTAGGCTTGCTGTATACCAAGCAATAGCACCAATAACATTTTAAGGTACACATCCATTACTTCCTTAAAAAAATTAGGCAGATTGAGTTTATAGGAGCTATGCAAACTAAGATACTGTTATTTACATTTATAAAACCCAAAATATTCTAGGGGAATGAAGCACTTCACTCAAAGAAGCAAAATATCAACCTGATTCAGCCCCTGGACTGGTCTGACACTGAAGTTGAAAGTAAGAGCAAATACTGAAGCCCAAAATGGGGACTGTGGAGAAGTGTTAATTATTCTCCTGCTTCAGGGACGTCAGCAGCTACAGATTGTAAGACCACTGCAAATAATTAGAAAATACTATGTGTAGGTAGCTTGTGCCACCAACTGCAGCCTTAACTGTTAATGAGGTCAACAGCATCGTGCAGAGCAGGAGACACAAGTGCACTGCAAATACTGGAGGAGAACAGAAATGAAGAATGCTGTAAGACACAAAGGCAAAACTGGCAAAGGAAACACTTGTATAATTCAATGGCAGAAATACATGAAAACCATTTTAAAAGTAAAATTAGCAAAGTGACCGGGTTCCAAGTGTGGGACTAAGCGCTGCCAGCATTTGTATTAACTGTTGTATTAGTATAGAGAAGTGATCAAGAGAACTCGCACCTGGATCCAAGTTAGGACTCTGAACGACCTTAAAACTAGAAACACTCAGAGCTCAGGCTGTCATTCAAGGCCAAGGAAAATGAAGACAGGAGAAAAAGGGAACAGAAAATGAAAAACCAAACCTTAAGGGAATCCCCACACTTCTGTTAATGGTCAGGACTCAATGGTAAGAGGAACTTGGAAAGTCAACGGCCATCTCACCAGCACTCCTTCCACCGTGTTCAACACGGATGGACTGAGTGCTTTAACCCAACCACTGTTATCTGGAGGGAGCCGTCTGACACCAGCATCCCCCACTTCTCCCAGGCAGCAGGGACTATCCTCCCAGTGCACCCTTCCGCCTCCCAGCAAGCTGCAAAACCGCAGCAATATGCAGGAAACCCTGGATCTTCTGCAAAGGACAACAAGGAGCTCCCTCTTGGGTCCCTTGGTCCTCCCTTCTCATTTTCAGGCTTACACTGAGAAAGGACTACAGGGAATATTTCTTTCTTACCAAAAGAACAGTGAGCTCACAGCATGCCAGGATGACAGAAGAGCCCCCAGGCTCTTGGGGGTGCTCAGCTGTCCAGCTGATGGCCAACTCTGCATGCACTGACCTACTCAAGCACCTGGGTTACTGGGCAGAACACTTCTGAAGTTTGGAGCAATGAGCACCGAAGTGTAAAGCAGTGGAGGGAACTACAATTTATTTATGGGGCTGCACATACACATTTACAGGTTCATCTGCTGTGCACTGATGGAGCCCAGCCCTTCTGCACCGAATTCATGTATTTCCTGAGAACTGACACCTAGGTTTTTTACTCCAGCTGTGGGCATCGCCTGCTATATTTATACAGCTCTAGGGTGCAATAAAAAGGAGAAAATGAGACACAAAAGACTTTAAACCAGGCTTTCCTTAGGCATTCTGACCACAGAGGGAAAGTTTTCCTTACTCTCAGCCTTGCCCACACAGTTGGTCCAGTCCTACACCACTCAATCTTAACACCCTTCCAACTTAAAAAAGCTTCAACCTGGAAATGTTTTGCCTGCTATTGTCACAAATAGTAAATGAGATAGAACTGGAGTACAATGGATTTTTTTTTAAATTATCTATGTAAAATAATAGCTCAGGCCCCCTGTGTGTTCAATATGTTAAGGCCCCAATTCTGTTAAGAATTTTGTTCTCAAATGCAGTGGCTTTAACAGGGTTCTGGGTGGCACACAGTCCAACTCAGCTTCTTGCACAATCAAGGCCTCATGTTTTGCACAACCACAACATAGTAGAAAAATACTTCAGAAAACAGGAAAATGTGGGAGTAAAACTCTTAGAAGGCGCAAGAAGATTCAAACTACTTGTAGCTTATTTACTTATCCAATGAGGAAGAATATCTACTTTAAGAAAGCTTACTGATGGCAGTATTTTTTCTAAGATTAACTGATGCTGGAACTGTGTTCTGAAGGATTTTATACTCTCATTTTTGGGGTGTAAATGTTCAGTCGGAGAGGAAAAGCCACCTGGGATCACCAGCAGTACAAACTTTACTCACAGGATTAATCTCATCAGCTTTAAAATGTTCACAGGAAAACTGTACAAGACATTAAATGCCTGCATATGCAAAGCTTTGGCCAACATGAGTAAATTTACACCTCTGCTCAAAAAGAGAAGTATTTTCCCTGCACCCAAACTGCCTCATTTCTTAGTCAGTGGGTAGGAACACACGTTTTTATTAAAAAGCAGCGAACGTTTTAAAAGCAAATTTTCTTTTTGCTCACAAAAATAGGAAACTGAACACTTGTTTCATGGCAGCATTACAGCCCCTGCAGTAATTGCCACCCAGGCAAGGAGGAGACAACCTAGGAACCTGTGTGCTGCTGAGAAATGGAACACTTGAAACTCTGCAAGAAACCAGAAACGATGGGGAAGACCTTTCCCATTCCTTTAACAGTAAGTTACCACCACAGCACCCCTTGTTACTGGCATGTGTGCTGTTCAGAAGAAAACAAGAACGGGCTTGTCCACGCAGGAGAACGTTCCCAGGTTTCTCCTTGCAGGAGCGTCCTTCCCGCGTACCCTTCCAGGGGATTTTGCCATCCAAAAAGGTGTGGCAATAAGTGGGACTTATTGATCCAGATTCTGGTTTTGACTCTTCATGGGTTTATTCTGTGATTCCCTCTCTCTCCCTTGCTTGCTTTGTGGTCAGCAGGATGGGGTTTTGTTATGCTTTTTTCCAGCTGATATTCATTACTGGGACTCATAAAATGCTGCAGGATTCTGTGCACCAGTTTATTATCAGTGGAGCAGAGCGGCCCAGGGCTGCAGGAAGCCAAGCCCCATGGCAGGCACACACTGCCTCATGCAGACTGTACAAAACCTTATATTGCTGATGCAAATCCAGTGTTGCACCTCCAGGACTCGGGCAAGCCTTCTAGTGAAACTTGCCACTCTTCTGGCTTAATCCAAGGTACAGACAGAGTTGCTGGTAATTGTTAGAAAC